CATATGTTATACATTTGTAGTGTTTAAAAACTGGTTGTAAATCAACATTTGCTGCAAATCCCTTAATACCAGCAACAAAATAATTGTTAATAAAACAACTGTCTACTGGTCTATTAAGATGTAAGTCAAAGTCAGAATCAGGTGAAATGGATAAAGCCCAGTAATATTCATCTTCACTTATCCCAACTGAATTTAGAATATCTGTCTCTGTCAAAGTGGCATCATAGCTTTCTTTTGATGGATTCAACACTTCATCAATTTTCTGTTTAACTGAACACAGTATTTCCTTACGTCTATTTAATATACTGCTCTTACTTTCATCATCCAGATTCACATCAAGGGGTTCAGCCACAATAGTATGTTTAGTAAAATATTGTCCAAAATTGAAACGACAGCTAACATTTTTGTATTTTCTGCAGGTTTTTGAATGGTTGTGTTTCTGATACATGGTTGTGTTTCTGATACTTGAAACAACTCGGGACATCTAAGGTCAGCACAAGATAATGTCATGAACCATGTTGGAATACCAAGTTGTTTTACCATTGTTATAACTTCATACATAAATTTTTGCCAATATGGTGGAGTGCCAGGTATTTGCCTTAAGAATAAATATGCTTGCTCTTGACAAACAAAATTTTTAATTTATTTACATCAGATTTTATTTCGGATGCAGTAAGAGGATGGCCTTGGATCTTTTTCTAAGCTATATTAATGCTGTCAGAAACTTTCTTCTATCCAAATACAAATTGTGCAAAGAACAAATATTCAGAATTTGTAGCAAATCGTCCACTATAATGTAAAAGTCTAGCATTGAAATACTTAACAGGTGTTAGTTTAATTTTTCTTTCTTCCATATAACTAAATCGCCCTTTTGGAAATAATTTTGGAAATGCAAGCTCTTCACATTTCTTGTCAGTCATAATTGATACTGGATGTCTATTTTCCCCAGGTGCAATATTATATATTTCATTTCCCAATGAACCTCTTTCAGAGGTCTCCACAGTTACAGGATAATCTGGAAGCAATGATTGTAAACAAGTTTCATTGGTTGTTTGTCGATACTCATTTAATGGATCATCATTTTTTTCCATTTCGTCATTTTCATTTGCTGGCAATTTGCTAGTAGAACATGCTTCGGTTGACGTATCAGAATCAGACATTTCATTTTGCCCTACATGTAAGTTCTTAAGATTTACATTGATATTATTCATCTCAGTTGTTACATTCAAATACAGTGGATTATATTAAGCTTCAGTCAGTTCAAGGCATTTTCAATGAATTGAGGACGAAAAAATATGAAAATATACATGACCTCTGAACACAAGCTTGCGTTTGAGTTTTAACATTATAATACCAGACCTTTCTGGTGGTCGTGGTAATACTTTACATGTCTGATCACAATCAACTGGTACATTACATATTGCTCCAGACATCTTTTTCTGTTGTTCTTTAGGCATTATAATTATCTTCTCAAAAACAATTCTTTGTGCAATAAGAATTTGTTCTAGTTTCTCAAGAAGTGCATGTTCAACTGGAATTTCATCAACAGACATATTGTAAACTACTTGACAAGGAATTTTTGCTTTTGCTACCTTTGAATGACAGGTTGAACAGATATATTCCTTGTTGTCAAATGATGTTATGTTTGTGAACACAGACTTTGGAACAGGCGAATTGCAACTATTCCTATTTAGCAATTTAACTGATTTTTTATACAAGAGTCGGTTGCAAACAGAGCATATGTAGCAAGGCCCTTCTTTTATTTTATTATGGAAGTTGCATATGAAATAGTCCAAATTATGTTTAGTTGATTTTCGTTTCTTGTATGCTCCTTGTTTCTTTTCTTTTTGAGGAGAATTGATTGCATAATATTTACGTTTCATGTTCGATTTGTTTCTCTCAAGGCAAGCTTCTTTTTCACTTGTACCCATTTCTTTGTAAGACATTGCTTGCTTTTCAAGAAGAGTTTCCTTCTCAGAAGGGTGCATGGGTGCATAGAAGGGTGCATAGATTTATATATTTTTGTCTTATTTTTGCACAATACTTCTTTTTTTTAGTGTACTGATGTTTCCATTGTATTTTTTGTTTCTCTGACTTTGTTAGTATACTTTTACATGACAAAAATTGAATTAAATATTCCGCTTCCTCTATGTTAGGATCAGTTAACTCAAGTATATCGCAGAATCTACTAACAAGAGGATGAGGGTCAGAAAATGGTTTTAGTAAATTTAGCTCACGAGTTTCACTGGATGAAAGTATATAATATTTTGTTTGCTTCCTTTGATTAACAATAATACAACCTAAACAATGGTTTGAAAGCCATATCAAAAACCCTGTGTTTTGCTTAGCATTAGACAAAATTACCGTTTCCAAAGGCACTCTACTGGACAAAGATGCAAGACACAGTGTTCCCTCATGTATAGATGTATTAACTATATCAATTTGTGAACCACATATTTCAATGGATCCTGGAAAATGTTTTGATGGTTGATTTTTATTATTAATTGTTTCAGTATTATACATCTCTATGGCATGCTCAATAATTTATATCACTTTGTGTCCGGTAAGTCCAATAACTACAATTCATAATTGTAGAAAAACAAATAGAATAAATATATAGTGAACATTCCTGAGTATAGAGAAAATAATTTTCATGGCGGGCTGTATCATCTCCAGCTGTTGGAGAGGAATAATTGAAATTTGTATCGTTATTGTTGTGGTAGAATCATTTGAATTTTCTAATTGTTTATTGCAGCCAATATTTACAATTTTAACACCTCTAAGTTCAAATATTGCTCCAAATCTGTATATAAACTTTAAATATTCTGTCAAATTACTGATTGAACCAAACTCTAACAACACACATATCCCATGAGGACGAGGCATACCGAACGAGTCCCTTGCATGAGAATCAAATACCTTCAATAAACCATTGGAGGCTGTAAAGATAGATACTGTATTATGCTCAATTGTCAATAGAAATAAATGAAATGTTTCTTGCCGTAACTGCTCGAAAGCTGGATCTAAAAGCATGACAAGTGGAATACTTTCACTCGCGGTAGAGAAATGAAGATTTGCAGTGTAACTCTCACTGAACTCAAAGGAATAATCAGTATCTTCAACTGTTACCATTGTGGGTAGTTCCGTAAGTAATAAATAACTTTGTCTTGATATTCTTGATAACATAGAATATAATTCATTGCCCACGTTCATATAATGTTAACTAAAGCACTTGGGTTCAATATAGAACCATTGCCATGCACATATATCAAGGAACATAAGCTCATAGCGACACATTGTCGACCTGCATTTTCACCAAAGACATCAACATTACCTTGACTATAAGGAGCATGTATAGTTTTACCAGCATTAACAAAGGCAGCTCCAGGGTTGACTTCAATGTCTCCACTTAAGCTAAGTTTACAGAAATTTATCCTGTGGTTTAGATCCTTGTAGGTAGCTTTTTCTGTTTTAATTAGGTTGGAATTAATGTAGGTATTTATATTTTTACTATTTCTTCCAATCTTAGTTTTCAATACCACATTCAAATCTAAGCATTTGGCATTAAAATCAATAGAGTTGACATTCAAATCAAAACAGCTGGCATTCAAATCAACACATTTGGCATTTAAATCAATACAACTGGTATTATATAAGTTTACATTCATAGTACACAAGTTGTCATTCAAATTTAAGTTGACATTCAAAGTCAAGTATATAAGTTTGCATTCATAGTATACAAGTTGTCTTTTAGATTTAAGTTGGCATTCATAGTTAAGTTGACATTCAAATGTGACTTGGCATTTAAAGGTGACTTGGCATTCAAAGTTAAGTCACTTACTCAGACTTAAGTTGGCATTCGAAGGTGACTTGGCATTCAAAGTTAAGTTGTTACTCAGAGTTAAGTTGGCATTCAAAGACGACTTGGCATTTAAAGGTGACTTGGCATTCAAAGGTGACTTGGCATGCATTCAATGTTAAGTTGGCATTCAAAAAGGCCTTGCCCAACAAGGCCTTGCCAGCAGACAACAAGGAGTCCTCTAAAGAAAAATAAAATAAGACAGATATAGACTCGAGTGTTTCCTACACTCACTACAGTCTGTAATTGGAAAAAAAATCAACCCGCTTAACAGGGCTGAGTTCAACCCCGGGGTTTAAAGTGCTCCATGTAATCGGCCCCTAATTAAGTTCAAATCACACTCAGGCCCCCACCTTCTTACAGTAATTCTCAATTTGTTTATTAGATGTACGGTCGGCTTTACAGTTTCAGATTCGCAGTTTCAGACTCACATTCAGTGATTCAGATTCAAATATGATTGAAAATAGATCAGTGTCTGGCATATAAAATCTCGAATTACTCTGTTTCTTTCTACGCAATAAACTTGTTAACGAATTTCATTCTTCTTCAGAACATTACGCAATAAACAAATGTATTTTGAAGGCTTTAGCGCAAAATGTGAAGTCAGGAAAAAGCGCAAAAAAATCACGGCGTGACTTCATGCTGCGCCATATTGTCGCAAGTGATTGGCAATATTATATTTCGCTACCAGCCAGGTAGATAATCTGAGGTAGTGTTGCCGTGCGCCAAGTGAGGTCAACTTGTGCGCCTGTTGATCGTGGGCACCGTGATTTTTCATTTATAGTTAGTTTTTCAAAATTAAAACTTGCTAAAAAGGCGTGTAATTGATGAATAAGATTTAAAGTTAGTTCATTCACTGCAACCAGGTATATCAATCTTACTCTGGTTTAAATAAATGATTACAAAGCCCAGTGGAATTGTAATCAAGACCCCAAGGGTCTTGATTACAATTCGACTGGGCTTTGTAATCATTTATTTAAACCAGAGGCAGAGTAGCGAGCGAAACATGATTGATGAATAAGGTGTTTTGGTGATGAGCAATGATGAGTGTTGTTACTGTTGTATCACAAGTTCAGTATAACCACCATTTAGTAATATTACACTGACCAGGAACACAAGTTTATTGAGTCCCCAAAGAATTATAGAGGCCATTCCAATCACCAGGCGATTATTAATACTCAAAGTCTGGCTTAAACATTTGATGCTGCGCCAACCACCAAAACTCAAAACTTGTGCGCCAACCTCGATGTGATTGTGCGCCAACAATTCAAAACTCGCGCCGAAGATCTTCCACAAAACGTGCATGGAATGCTGGGCTACCAGAAGTTGTTTGAAGCTAACGAGTGCGTTATATCATTCTATGATAGTTGTAGAAGAATGAATTTGCTGGAAAATATTTCAATGTAAACGTGTGATGCGTGAGAAGTATTTTAATATTCTCTCAGCTGCGTTGTTGTCATTCGCTTCGGGTTACAAAAGCCGGTTCGCGTCAGCTACGTTTTGCGATTTTTCCTGGCAAAACGACAAACGGTTTTAAAATCTAGTTTACTTTATACCATTCACTATAATTTAGTAATGAATGAATTTCAGAGATTAGGGAGCTACAACGGGTACTTTGTTTTACACAGCGAAATATAATATTGCCGATCACTTGCGACAATATGGCGCAGCATGAATTCACGTCTTAATCGTCTATCATTTGGCGTGCGGGTCCTCATGCATTGGCCCTAGTAGTAATTACGCTTTTTTCTACTTTTATACAGTACCGTACGTACCTCTGGGTAAATTTCTGACTGAGTTGTTGGGTCTTTATGTATCGATCAATTCGAAACTTCACCATCCCCCCCCCCGGGCAGACCCCGGGAATTTGAACTTTTTGAAATTTGACTGATCAAATCCTCCACCCCCTGTGCAAAAATGTCTTCAAATGCCCCACTGTAACAAGAAATTAAGTGTTCAAATGCCCCACCTTCGTATGAAAATTATGAAACAGTAAATACAAAAAGTACAAAATATACGGAAATGTTTTTCGACAAGATAGCGAAATTCACGTAAAAAGTTTGGATACCTTGTGGAAAGTTAACAGTTTTACACAATTATGTAGTACATACCTTCAAATGAAGCACATAGATTTTCCATGCCCGTTTCTTTGGGCCAGTTTTTCACAAAATTGAGGCCGTTTCCCTCGAAATCTGAGAAAACTGTATTTGCCGCCAATGCGAAGTATTTCTGTGCATGCAGGAAGCACGCGAAAACGGGCAAAATTTTAAGACTTCCGGTTCAAATTCTCCACCCCGTTATCAAATGCCCCACCACATGGAAGACCTAAAACGTCAAATTCCCTACTCCCTGGAGAAGAGTTGAAGTCAAATTCCCGGGATATGCCCGGGGGGGGGGGGGATGACGAAGTTTCGAATTGATCGGTACATTAGTCTACGGTGTAGACCCCAGCAGAAACACGAAACGTGTTTCTGCTGGGGTCTACACCGTAGGCTATTGGGTCTTCAGATGCAGTATTTTCAACACAAAATTTCAGTAATCCCTCTAAGTTGTGTCTTTGGCGTGGCCTTTCACCCGACATGTTCACCAAATTTTCAGCAACTAGTACGTACTACGTAGTGATACTTTTACTAAAATTTTCAGGAAACATCAAATTTTGAAATTATATGCTCTTCTTGTTAGATGGACCACAAAATGAAGTATATACCATTCCATTTCTAAGAACCGCTGACGCTTCTTCCTTTCACTGCAGGCGTTTCAACATGGCCGTTCAAAAATGACCATGTGCACTTATTATTAACGCCTATTAAACCATGACATAGATACTATATCGATGGGTTTGAAGACATAGACGTAGTATAGAGAAGACCGTCAGAGAGGACAATACTACAATGGAAGGAGTACAGGTGCCACCAATGAAACATGGCCAGGAAGTTATTCAAGTTGTGGAACTAAACATCAAGAATTTTCTCCAAAGACAGGTGTGTTTATACGGGAAAGCATTATTAAGCATAATATGCGAATATTCCTTCTAATATATTGTGATTTTTGAAGCGACTCATGCGTTCTTATATTGTGTCCGAGAAGCGAAACATTTCGCTTGTAGTAACCAATGGGTAACAAGAAGCGAAACTTCTCGCTTCCATACAGCCAATGGGCAACAAGAAGCGAAATGTTTCGCTTCCTTGGCGCAACACATATATATGTACAATATACGTTGTGTTAGTAAAAGAAGCAAAACTTCTCGCTTCCATACAGACAATGGGCAACAAGAAGCGAAATGTTTCGCTTCCATTCCCACAACACATATATGTGTACAATATACGTTGTACGTGTTAGTAAAAGAAGCGAAACTTCTCGCTTCCATACAACCAATGGGCAACAAGAAGCGAAATGTTTCGCTTCCATTACCCCCAACACATATATATGTACAATATACATTGTGTTAGTAAAAGA